AAAATAATTCGGTTATTAAGGGATAAATCGTCAATGGCCGATACGTTATGCTCGAATTTCGTGCTCACCGTCCCTCGAAAATTTCCACCCTTGCGTATCGTGATAGACACAACGACCAGGACAGTGATTTTACTCTCTCGTGGCCAGCAGCTGTGTTAGCCAGACAACAACTTCGCCCTGCTCCAAGATGCCACGACGGTAAATGACGTGACGTTATAAAGCCGACAATTCCGTGAAAACGTCTGACGGACAATGGGTACGTAGGTCTGATGAAGAGGACAGCTGCTGCGTGTACAAGCAATTATTTTCATCGGCGGAAGGGTAAGTGCGTGAACGAGATCGCCTCTGTGCTCGCCATTATTGTTTTTCTAAACGAGATTTATTCATTATCGTCTGGTATTCTTGTACCCGAAATTCCAATTTCGAAATCACGTTCAAAATATTCCTAATCTATTTATTGCATTATGATTTCTATAATATATAGGGTGACAGATAGTAAGTTAATATTCATTTGACAAATTCGACGTTCCGTGGCAGTGAATATATTTTTCCTAATAATTATACGGAAAATTATAAATTTTGTAACACTTCCAAATCGAGATAGAAAAACATCGGTGAGAAAGAAATTAAAATATAACTGTAAAAATGAATGCACTTTTGCGAAAAAACGTGGATTAAAAATAAAATATCATCGGAGGTGTAACGCAACAGGAAAAATTGGTTCGAAAATTTAATGGAACAGGAGAGAAGCGACGGTCAGAATGGCCGATTTTTAATTCTGACAGCATTTGAATGCCATACCCACGAAATGAGCAACACTCGCGCTGTAAGAGTAGCATCGACAATTTTTCACCACCCCTCACCTTGGACAATTTACCTAAAATTCAACGCGGAGCACGGATTTTTAAAAATAATCCAAAACCATTTTCGGGCGGATTTCGATTCAAATAGGATTTCGCTGAAACATTTCACCCGCGTTTAAGCATTTTCGCGCAAGCGAAAACAACGAACGTCGATCTTTGCCAATAATACAACTCGCGTTTTTACATCCCTGGCAAAATGCATATTCGAAATTCGCATTTAAAACGCGCATTAGTAGCTTAAAATATTTAGCCAACCCATCGCATTATCGAAAATAAAACTAACAAGATAATTAATTTTCTTACCCGAATGTATTATACCTCGCGATTATGCGAAATTCTGTATACGATACACGAACGAATATTCCACTTTATTCCCGAAAATGTTGAAAAATCGATAATGCGCTTGCGCTGCTTGCAACGGCTCGTCATTTTTTATGTATCGTGGAATATACGAATTTTAATATTACACGACACGTTCGTTGGAAATTTCGCGTTTTATATATGAAAAATTCTGAATCCGAAAATTTTCGATGCGTAGAATAATTCTGTGACCCCTGCAACGCTACCACTGATAAAAAATTGTATACCAAAATAACAGCAAGTGCTAACGATGTACTATGACCATCGAGCATGATCAGCTACGAGATATTAGAAATATTTTTCTGTTCTAAATTCGATCGATTATCCGTATGATAATAGACTATACAAAATTCACCCATCAACGACACTGTTCCACAAAAATGAATATTTCTTCTCTAATTTTACGAATTTTGAAAGGCGAATTTCCACAAATACTTTGGAATGTACAAACTTTGAAAAGATGAGAAAAAATCGATTTTCTGTGCTCGAATTTGTAGAAGAAGCACTCAGCGAAGAAGAGCCATGAGTGAAGGAAGAGTACAAGGCCCACTTGCCAGTGGAACACCTCATCAATCATGGCAGGAAGTATAACACGAGTAGACAGCAATGCAACATAAGCCCTGGGTCGAAAGACTATCTAATAGACTATAAATCGATCGAGAATCTTGCCCAGCATCAGAAACACACTGAATTATTCAATAAATAGCGAATTTCGTATTATTCGCGAATAACACTACAGGCAACCTCGACGATCGATTCGAAAAAACGATGCGATAAAATAGAAGTGAAAACTAATGCTAAATAAACAAATAAATAAAATGTATCTCGAATTCATATTTCAAGCAGAAACGCAGCATACTAAATCTTCCTTAATATTTTGAAAAAGGCCAATTTTCGCGTTTTCCTGCACGCGTGGGAGGCCAGCCAGCGAAACGCAGGGGCGTATATCAACATGACCGTTCTATATTTCTCGAGCGACAGGTACGAAAATTTTTTAAACGGTCGCTTCGACCATCGTCGAAAAATGATCGTCGTTATTCCTTTCAATTTGCCGGGAAACTAGGAAAAAAAAAAAAAAATAACAACGCAGCAGTCGGGAGAGGCCACGCAGTAGTCGCGAAAAAGGCCGCGTTTCGCCGCGCATTTCGGCAAATTTTAAATGTCACGCGGGAACCGGCGGAAAATTCGTTCCCCTGCGTGAGAAATATCGCGTGGAAAAACGATGGGTCGTTAAATTTTAACAATCACGCTTTACTGCCGTTTTATAATAGCGGCTATCGCGACCGACTGCCGGAGGACAGGGTGCCATTCGCGCTGCAGACCAAATGTCCCGTCCGTTTCCCTGAGAAGTTTAGGGTCTAAACAATCGGTGTCTCGGTCCACTTTGCCCGGTGACTTTAGCCGGTCGACGTAGTTGCCTCGTTTTCTTTGGTCGGCAGATCGTGAAACCAGATGACGCGATACGAGACGTCTCGGTTTCTTTACAGAGACCTGCGGAATTCTGCCTTCTACTCCGGGGACAATGCTGCTCTTAAACCAACCAACAACGTGTTTTATCTGGTCTCGCGGCTGGAACAGCGACACGAGAGTGATATTCGCTACTCCTTGGATTGCGGTGAAGTGATTTAGAATAGCAGGATCCTATCTTTATTGCGCTGCTATTTTTGGGATTTAAATTGTTCCTTTTTGGCGGTTACAGGGACTTGAAGTATCAGGGATTATGAAATTCATGATGGCGTTTGGAGAGCAATTGTAACTTCGAGAGAAGCTGAGACTGGCTTTGCAATTTCGGGTAATGATAATGGAAATAAAAATGATTAAGACGGGGAGAAATTAGGGTAGAGGTTCTTTGGCACGTTTCAGAGCAACGGAGTATTTTATGATCCTAGGTATTAATTCGAATGGGAGAGTTTTCTTCGAAGTATGAATATATTCCTTTAATAAAGTATTCTACTAGAGCCAGTGATCAACTCTATTAACGCGACACGAAGAGAAAATACAAGACCCGAAGAGCTTCTGACCTGCCCTTACTAAAAGGTGGTAGTTCACCTCTGGTAAGTCTCATCTGATAAAATATCCAGGCTAATATTCCTTTATGATACTTTACTTCTATACCGATGCTGGCAAAATTCTAATAAAAATTCACAAATGGAAACATCTTTCCAAATTTTTAATTTAAATTGTCTACATACTCTCACCTATTCTTCGGCCCATACTCTCGATAATTTAAAATAAAGACCTATTAACAGACGAGACCAAGTCGTACTGAATAGGATCCAGATCGGACATTCAAAAATTACTCAAGAAGATCTGAAAAAAACACCCCCACCCTACTGAGACAAGTGTCAACATCCCTTGACCATCCAACACATCTTATTTTACTGTAAAGAATACGAGGCCTCACGAACCCAGGCAAAGGTTCCTAACTCAATAAAAGAAATCTTTAACAACACTGAAAACGCCAATAACACCCTCAGATTCAAATGACCCTATTGTCGATGCGACTTGTAAGCCGTCCATTAAAAACAAAAAGTAAAATTTTAAATAAAAAATTAGGTAACACATAGGTACTGAGGAATTATGGCGTACCTTGGTCTCATTTTCAAATTTGTATTTATGTTAATTAATTAACTGTGAAATTTATTAATCAATAGTAAATCCCTCTCATCTCGAACCTAATATTATCAAGAAGGAATTCGTCTTAATTAGGTCGATTTTAATTGAAAAATTTCCAAAAATGGAGATATAAAATAACATGTGCATATCTAATACAAACGTAACGAAGTTTTATTTTATACTACTTATATTTCCCCATTATAATACTCACTGAATACCAATTTTACTATCTCACCATGCTATTTTATACCGTTTTCACTATACCTGTCATCACTTCAAATCCATACTAATATCTAAACCCCAACCCCCTTCTCTTTAAATCCACCGAAAATCAACAATTCGCGAGAAGGAAGCTATGAACCGAAATGCAGCGCCGGCATAATCAGCCTAAACGCTAAACAATCGCGAGTGGGAACGGATTAGTCGACGATTATCGTTGTTTCATTTCCGGCAAGCGCGTTCCTCGGCAAGCTGAGAGATCGGTGCAATTTCATGGTCACGTACGTCGCGTAAAACACGCTTTCAGCACGTCGCACGCCGAGAAGCTCGTCGCGACGAGCAGCCAGTTAGGTTGAGTTTAGCATTTGTTTGGCGTCGTTCTTAAGGCGATCTCACGGTTCGAGCCGGCGACGACGACGAGAGGATCAAGCAGTGGCCTTTCGAATGAAACGCGACTTCTCAGTCTACGTGGAAGATTTATGCGTGACCCGCGACGAACTTTCAGGTCTGAAAGTTGATCCTCGGGTCTGGGCCAGCTGCCAAGTCAGACTCGATATTACAGATTTCCGGAAAATACCCGTGAAACGACACTTTTCAGCGGACAGAACGATGGACAGATCAATCTACTATCTCTATACCGGAGGTCCTCAATGAAGACTTTGCGACCCCATAGCGGGACCCAATATTTCTGGGACTATGCGAAAATATTTGCACCGAGTACTTGCAAGTTAATTCGTGTAAAGAGATAAAAGTGTAGGTCAGATATGTATGCGAGAATTGCAAGAAAATAGGAGTTTAGAGATGGGTCCTATGTCGAGGAAAATAGTGGATACTAAATAACAATGTTCTACTGGAAAAATGCAAAAATAATTTGCCAAACCGACGTAAGCTGTATAAGAATTTATATAGATTGCAATGAAAAGTAAAAGTAAGTTCACTCACCAATCGTTGCCAGTTTTGGTTACATTCTGTCGTTTGCGGCCAGTTTGATGGGGTTTCGGTTCAGCCACCATGTTGACATCTGCAACAAAATGAGAAAAACACGTGCACTATACCGTAACTCATATTAACCCTTTGTATAGCGTCCATTTAAACCCAACGATATTTTTCCCCCGATTTTTTCTAGTTTGAACACGCATACACAGCCTTTTATGTGGTAACTTGATTTTACAGAAATGTGCCAAAGCAGATTTATTTCTTGTCAACAAAAATATGAAAAAAGTAATCAAATTTTGAATAGTTTCAATTATAAACTACCTATTATATTTCCTACCTAAAAATGAATAAATCAAGAATTTTTAACGTAACATAAAATAAAATCAAAATAAAAATTCGCAATTTTAAAGACACGAAACATCCTCCAAATAACAGAGAATTAATAAACCAATTTCTTTATAAAATAAAAATATTAAATTGGAAATTTTGCAAATTAAGTTTCTCGTTTTTCGGGCTCTAAATCCAACGTATCAAATAATATCCAGAATTTAGCGAAACACCGTGTTAAATACCGCGTGCAGCACGGTTGTTTATGGTAAAAAGAGAAGCAATTGTCGCGCGTGTAATGGCGGAATCGCGATAGAAATCTGTCACGTGACTTAATAACCGACTCAAATTAATAAAGCGGCACGAAGCTGCAAAGGGGCTTAACGTGTCCACAAACAGTTATTAATTTCGTCCCTTTGCTGCGCATTTCCGTATGGCGCTAGACACCGCTAAGGTGGATAATGGATGCGCGTTCGAGTGATCAGAACAGTTGAGCCGTTGTGTCAGCGAATTATCTATTCTTCGGTGTCTTGCGGACGGAAAAAATGACAAGGGACCATTCTCCTCGCAGCATTGAATAGGCTTCGCGGATTTCATTCTTCGACACGTTCCTCGTCGCCTTGGACGAGGGGGGCGGGGTGCAGCTTATGCGAATTACTTCGCAACGAATCGATGATTGATGAAATTATCGTGGAAATCTGAGATCTGTCTTAATCCATCTTAAACTTAACATCGTTCGATCAATCTACCCAACTGGCTGGCTTAATTATAATCCCCGCTGGACGTGCTTCATTTGTAAAATATTCCCTAGAAAGTTTATCGGAGCAATTTTTCACCAGTCGCTTTAGTTATCTCGGCCACGAAGTTTCCACGACGTCGATACAAATATGAACTTTTAATGACCGTGTAATTAAATGATTGAACATCGAGTGCTGCCGTATTCTAATCAGGCACTGTACTTCCTTCGATTCGGGACGAGTTCGTATAAAAGTACGAGAAATTTTTATGGAGAATCTTGAATCGTTGATCACAGGTTCCAATTCTGTGTTATTGAGAATGACTATCTGATGATTACGGGCAGAAATATAAATTAACACCAGCGTACATAATTTTCTCTCTTTTTATTCCCCAGTTAATTTACCATTTATTTCAGAAAGCAATAGGTAAATTATTTTTGTAGGATCGTCACCATTTAGCATACTAATCGCGACATCTTACAGAAATACGTTCAAATAAAACGTATGCAATGTGTGTTTGCGTGTGTCACGTCTAGAATGAGTCACCGATTGTCTAACGTGGCCTCAGTCGTTGTATAGCAATCATCGTGTAACAGTTGGTATTATAATAGCAATTATAAAGTTTACAAGTATAATAGGCAAATTATATTGCTTATCCCTGCAACACTCGATCCTCACCGATACTAAAGATCCAACAATTTTATCGCTTTGATTAAGTTAACAGGAAGGTATCCCAATGGAACATACCTGAGTATGAGCAAGCTACACTGTTATCACGAGGTTAGATCATTTGGGATCGTTTTGTGCAGTCTTCTTGTGACACTCGTCTATAATTAACCACTTTTTAAATTTTTCGACGAGAAATGAATTTGTATTAGAGTATTGGAAACTTTTACAGGAATCTTGGAACGTTAGCCACGTGTTCCAGGCACTTCTCCATTATTGAAAATGATGATTCTTTGCCGACAGCGAGCACAAACATAATCTTAGACAGGCTACCAAGCCAGCTGACTGCAGTGGGTGTGTAGCCAGTTCGAAACACGACACAAGACCCATCCTTTGTGTAGCCTAACCAAACACGTCGTGCAGACAGTAGCACGAGGACGTGCACACAAGGCAACACAGCTAAAAGTCAGCTCAATTATGATGGCTACTTGTACTTACGTACCAGGAAATTGTTTGCACGCCGGTTCCTTTAAATGATTTGCTCATTTTTATGAGACCTCGTAAACGAGATACCCCTCTGACTATGTAAAGAAGAAGAAATCTACGTGAAACGAAGATTCGCGATCTCATCTTACGCGAAGAAAATATTTTTCAGAAGACAGGTCATCGAAGAAGAAAATAGAGACGAATGAATTTGGAACGAAAATTCTACGTTCGCTGAGATCGATATTCGAGAATGGATATTTCCGAAGAATTGTGTATAATTTTCTAAATAATTCTCGCTATTTCTACGGAGAAGCAGTTAGAAACATTTCACCCACGGAATATTAATGTTTGAATAATTTCTGTTTTCTGCATGGTCGTAAACTAATCTCTACGGTAGCATGTATTTACTTGTGCCGTTGTTTACCGAGTGCATACAATGGCCGAACGTTGCAAATGCAATACACAAATGTGTATTAAATCAGAATATTCGTTAGCAGTTGATGCGGAATTAATGTAAATGAACGCGTTAATATTAGTTGACACACGTTGTACGTAAAATAACGCAATAAACGTATGTATTAACATACTATATGAATGTATTACAGTAATTAGATGCGGATGGATTATATAACCAATATATTTACTTGAACAATATATATTTATACAATCGAGAATCTCGACATACCATTGTGCAATTTTAAATATTAATTTTCCAAATAAGGCACTTTGTCCGATAATCATTGGATTTTCATTCGTTTCCAAATTCTCTATCTCTATTAATTTATCCTGCATCCTATATGGAAAACACCATCGACTTTGTGGAGGGTCCTTCCCCATGGATGATGGTTTGTTAGACTGTTGACAGGTAGAACTGGAAGGGACGAAAAGAATGGGAAGCATTTCGTTCTGGGGCCTACTAGTGGACTCATCTATAAGGCTACCTAGCAGGTCCTGCCTCGGACAAAGATTATCTAGCAGGCCCTGCCTCAAACAGGGATTACCTAACAAGTCCTGCCTTAAGCAGGTATTATCTAACAGGTCATGCCTCAAACAGGGATTATCTAGCAGGCCCTACCTCAAACAGGTGTTACCTAACAGGCCCTGTCTCAGACAGGGATTACCTTAGCAGGCCCTGCCTTACACAGAGATACTATTGGAAAGTCTGAAAATTATATATATATAATCTAAAGCAAGAGAAGGGTTTATCGAACACCTTGCAGGAAAATCCTCGAACCTCTTTGAACCAGAAATCCGTCTAGTGACGAGGGTCAGAATGGTGTCGCGACATCATGAATAAATTAGATTTTTTTCTCTATCTCCATTAATTTCAGACAACATGTTCTTCATTCATATTTCAATCTTAATAATTGCCTACTAGTTAGTTGCTTTCACTATGCCTATTTTCTTTACTATTAAAATTTATGTACACTCTACGCAATACAAGGTGGAATGGAATGGTAATAATTAAAGTATACTTATATAATTGTTCCTCTACAAACTGCGAAAAAAGCCAAGATTAATTTTGTCAAAAGCAGTTCTATGTTATCAATAATTCTAAAGAAAGAAATTTTGATTTCAATTTTTCGTATTAAATTAAATTAAATCGGAATAAAGGGGAGAAATAAATTTCGATCGATCCCATCTACATTTTTTTCGCGAAAATTCACGTTAGCAAATGAACCTTGGCTCTTAACGCGTATCGAGCTCGAAGAAATTAGAATTGGCTAAGGCCACGTTGAAACAGCCAGACAGCCCGATAAGAATTATCTCAGCGACCCCGACGTTACCTAAAACAGACCGGCGTCGGCGGTCGAGAAAGGCGCTTAACTTCCGCGAATGTTTTACCAAACGAGCTGCCATAATCCTGGTTAAATATCCAGCTGTATCCTATTTCCTCTTCTCCGTCGTTCGCGAATGCCAGATTCTGCTTCCAGTTGACTTTTCCGACCGTGCAATCTGCGATATGCATAAAAATGCTATTCAACCGCGAGATTCCAACCCCGGTCGTATGAATGGCCGTTTCATCGAATGAAATTATTTCGACTAGAACCCCTCTGCACTATCTCTTCAGCTGCCGTAGGATTTAAACGCGACGAAAATACAAAGGTGTCGAACTATAACCCCGATACGCTATTCGTGACAGTGGTGAATATTTTATGAAGAAACCTGGTTGACAGTTAACTCTCAGTGTACATATACGTATCTTGCAGCATCTGTGTGGTTTCAGATGATACGAAATAGCTGTAAAATAGAGAGTCCGTTGACTGGTGACGCGCGAGTCTACGGATTAAATGTATTCCGATACAAGTTTCATACCGTATCTCTAACTCTGGAATCAACTTCCCGTGAATAAATAAGAGTTCATTTGTGGCGTTTAATGCAGATAAAATTAGCGACAGATAATCCGAGAACTAAAAGTACGTATTAAGGTCAGTATTAAAAAGGAATACGAACTGATGAGTACAGAAATACAAACTTCAAGATTAGCGAAGTTCCATGAAAAATCAGGAACGTGACAAATGACAGACAGAGCAGCTAATATTTGACAGATAAGCTCGACTTAATTGACATCCATTATCGAACAATTAAAATCACTCCAGGAATAAATAGCAGAAAATGAGATATATTTAATGCAATTTCCATTAATTATTACTCTTCGATTAACTATTTTGACGCTGTGAACTCTTCCAATTTCTCCACTCGAAAACACGTTAAATAATTCATTCCGTTCCTCTGCATGAATCCAAATAATTAGAAATGGCAAAATCTTCAGCTGGACACTTTATGGACGAGAAGTAAAAATATGCATAAAATGTAGGGTAAACTGAGAAATAATAATTTCAGTAAAATCCTTGAGATGAAAGATACC